GGATTATTTGAGTTCAAAGAGTTTTGGTTGGAATGCGTTGCTTAAGAGGAATAAATTGGATTTATCTGAACACCAATTATCACAAATCGATGGCAACGATATTGTCTCGGATTTAAAGCAATTATTAAACTTAGTTGGTTAGTTTTATGAATGGACCTGGGTAACTTATAAGTTAGTTGGTTAGTTTTATGAATGGACCTGGGTAACTTATAAGTTAGTTGGTTAGTTTTATGAATGGACCTGGGTAACTTATAAGTTAGTTGGTTAGTTTTTGACAAATATTTTGGTCTCAATAACTGGTGTTTATTGGTATTCAATGCAGACATATCGAGCCATTTGCCGACAAAAGGGTTCGCAATGAGACACTTGTGTTGACGTCTATATGTCTACCGTTTATTTGCGGCATCTATTCATGTATTGTTTTAAACTTTTCGGATATCAAATGAATCAAAACTTCATATCAAATGCTTAATACAGTGAAAGTTAAGGCTTATTGCAGACCCAAAGGCGTCAACACAAGTGTCTCATTGCGAACCCTTTTGTCGGCAAATGGCTCGATATGTCTGCATTGAATACCAATAAACACCAGTTATTGAGACCAAAATATTTGTCAAAAACTAACCAACTAACTTATAAGTTACCCAGGTCCATTCATAAAACTAACCAACTAACTTATAAGTTACCCAGGTCCATTCATAAGTGTTGAAGTAAGTTTGATTCGTCTTTAGACCAGAAACTACTGAATTGAAGAGAAAATAAATTTTCAAACACTGAATGATTAGTAGTTTTATCGTAATTATTATATTTATTAAATGATCTCATAATTAATAAATGACAAACAAATTCAAAGATTGTTCAAAAACTTGACTCAACTTTTGATTTGAAAGCCTTTAACGGAGAGTAAGTCGAGAGATGTCTCCACTCTTTGCAATCGATATCGTATTGAAAGCTGTTTTGCAGACACTCTTCAAAATCAATACCAAATAACTGACAATCAGTTGTCAATTGAATTGAATGACAGTTTGCGGAACTAATTGGTGACAAAGTGGTGACCAATGGGTGACCAGACGAAGGCCTTTCTGTACGCCTGGTTAGGCAAGAGTCGGGTCACTCCTGACTACCAGTTCACTCAGACCGGCGCTAATGCGAGGATTAGATTCAGATGCGAGGTTTGTGTCGATTCCTCCACAGTCGCAGTGGACAAGCATTGACTATAAGCGGTCACAGTATTGATTGTGTGTCTTGTGTCCAACCCATAGCTGAGAGCCGAGGGCTTCGCTTACGTAGCGATGGGTAACTCGACCAACAAGAAGGACGCGGCCGTCAACGCCGCCCGAGATTTCCTCATGTATTTGGTCCGCGAGAAGAGATTACCTGAGAGTGAACTCCCATTCAATAACCAGTCGCCAGCCATGGCTAACCCGTTGGGTCGAGACATGACATCGGCTTCTGGCGACCCCAACACTCCGATGCCTCCCATCGACGCCTTCATCAATGCTTACAGAGGAGGTGCTCCGCCTCCCTGTCCACCCAATGTCAATGTCAGCAAAGGCTTTATGTCATACCCCGAGGGACCCAAACAGGAGTACATCGATCGCATCGCACAGAAGCGCAAGTTTGAAGAGGCCGAGGAACTGGATGTCAATTCTGGTATTCATGGCAACTGGACCTTGGATAACGCCAAACAAAAACTCAATGAATATATGGCACAGAATAAGATT